GTCTGGCGGCCCGCAGAATGAGCTCCCTGTCCGTGTACCGCAGCAGTTTAAAGAGAAAAACCCGTGGTTTAGCGCGATCTGAGGAGAGCCTTGTGTACACGCGATGCGCTCGTTCCATTTCAATCTCTTTGCCCGCCAGAGATAGGAGCCACATCGGTAGCGATCTTTTCAAAAAGCCCATAGGGTCGTCCTTTTCGGAACCTTCAGGCAATTCAACCAAACGCAGATTGCTGCGCCTATTTCGATCCTGTAAGTCCACTACCTGTTGCTCGAGCGCGGTTACTCGCCTATCGTGATCTGCGACAACTTTCTTTTGTTTTCTCATCTCCCCTGTAAGAAGATCCAGTTTAGAGCATAGCGACTGAACAACTGACATGTGAGAAGCGAACTCGTTCCGCATCGCCGTCAACTCAGTTCTTAGAATGTCCTCAAAGTGCGCAACAGTGTTCGCCATCTTGTCCACCATATCGTCCGTGGTCGGTGGCTTGGATTTCTTCTTAATCGGAGAAGCCGATGGAGACAATTCCTGCTGTTTCTGATTGTGTGCCATCTGGGAAAGTATTATTAATGAATAAAACTTAAAATAAAACGAAAAAATCAGCAAAAAGGGGCCAGACGAAAGTGTTTTTGAAAAATCACATACCCTGCCTTTAATCGGAGAAGCCGATGGAGACAACTCCTGCTGTTTCCGATTGTGTGCCATCTGGGAAAGTATTATTAATGAATAAAACTTAGAATAAAACGAAAAAAAAAATCTGCAAAAAGGGGCCAGATGTACGGAGCTCTACTCAAGTGCGACTAGGTTCATGAACACGTCACGTGACTCTTCTTGTAATTTAAAAAAAAAATAGATATTTGTTTGACAAAAGTCAAAGGTTGAGCACTGGTTTATTAGTCTAGCGGATTCATTGTCATTTAGGTATAATATTGCATGTGTGACTGAATTGAGATGGCAATCTGGCTATTTATATCCAAAACATAAAATGAGGGCTTTGTTAAACGAATAAATACAGAAACCCAGACTCACTGTGTACAGTGATATTAACAGGATGACTTTTCTCTCCAGATTCAGACTCACACCAGTACACTCCAGTGTCCTCTGTGAAGGTATCTCTGATTGTACATGCAGATCCTGTTTGTAAACCCAACACTGATGAACAATCTTCCAGCCGCCAGCTGTCTCTGTATCTTCTCACTGTCCATACAGTAGAGTTACTCTGGTCCTCACAGCTCAGAGAGAGAGAGACAGATGTGAAGTGTTGAGTTCTACTGGGACTGACGATCAGAGAGACTGGAGGCGAAACACCTGAGAAGACAATTACAGCTACAATTCAGAAATCAATTCAAGACAGTTTTATTGATATAACACTTTACACGACTTACTTAGTTTCAAAGCAGCTTTTCAGAAAAATATTCAAGCTGTAATGTCTCAAAAATAGATGAGTGAGATACCACTTCATAAAACGTATTATTACACCTGTGTACATCCTCCTCTTTCAAATGGGATTCTTGAACTAACACTATATCAATCTTTCTTCTTCGCAAAAAATCCAGAAAACCTGTAAGTTTGAGAGGGCCATTTAGGCCATTAATATCACAACTCAGAATATTAAGGTCAGTCAAAGGTATCAAAAATAATTACTGCATAATAGGACAAAATATAAGTTTGAAAATAAAACCAGTTGAGTCTACCATTAAACCACCCCCCACCCTTCCCATCACTATTCAAAAAAACGTAAACACATTTCAATGAACTATGGCAGATCAAACCCAGAACAAACTTTTCACAGCTCAGAGAGAGAGAGACAGATGTGAAGTGTTGAGTTCTACTGGGACTGACGATCAGAGAGACTGGAGGCGAAACACCTGAGAAGACAATTACAGCTACAATTCAGAAATCAATTCAAGACAGTTTTATTGATATAACACTTTACACGACTTAAATTGTTTCAAAGCAGCTTTTCAGAAAAATATTCAAGCTGTAATGTCTCAAAAATCCACAAGTCTTCACTGAGTATTTCTATTTAAACTTCATAAACAAAATTACACCTTAAAATATTTGTCATTATGCCATCAGCAAGCATGCCAAAGACAACTGTGACAACCAACAAAAAAAACTCCATAAGGTGTTACTATTGGAGAAAAAAAAAAACCTTGGTAGAAACCAGACTCAACTCGGGGGTCAGTTCTTCTTTGCCTGTACAGTGTGAACCTAGTGTTTATAGTTTGCTGTGTATTAATTTACTAATATAATTAGTAGGCAGATACTAATCAAACTGTAAAATGATTGATTAAGTGTTTATACGGTCCATCCTATAAAATGTGCTGATGTGCACATTGAGTGTCCTGTGTTGTTGATAAAGTGCCTCCTAGAATCAAGGTGTGGTCAATAACATAAATATTTAAAATACATTTTATAATGACAACACTATTTAATAAATATGTCAGATGATACATTTTTATTACACCTATTTGATTATGTTCCCTGAAGTCTACTTATGTAAGCAACACTTTTGTGCCACAGTAGTTATATTTTAGTTTTCCATGACAATTTTCCACCATTAGAATTAAACGTTTTACATTTTTGCCGCTAACCCAGGAATCAAGGTTTTGCTGGTTAGTTTGGTTTATTTAGGACCTGCTAGTAGATGCAGTAACTACACCTGACAGCAGAAGCATCTTTCTCCATTCACATTCAAAAGTAGCCGTATATATTATGACAGGATAAAATTTCAAGACACATCAAGCTCTAAAAAGTTCAAGGAAAATTTCCAGAGTGTCTCACTCATTCTGTGGTTCAGTTTGAACTCACCAGTGACCCAAAGTGGCTGTGTGTTGCTGTACCATGTGTTATAGGCTGGTTTTCCTCTCTCTGCTCTGCACATATAAACTCCTGTGTGTTTTAGAGCAGCAGAACTGACAGTGTAGTTTCCTCCAGCTCCTCTGCTGCTGTCTGAGAGAAGCTCATAATGATTGCTGTTGCCTGTATGAAGTGAAAAAGTGCAGTTACTTCAAGAAATGAGCAGTCATTTTTACATGAGTCTTATAAATTACCTTTGTTGGTATAATCAGTGTATTCAGATTGATTAAATATTATTAATATCTGTAATATTTTTCATGAAACCAGTTTATTCAGATGTTACTACATGATTGAAGCACATTATATCTTACCTGATGAGACAGTTTCAGTGAACCAGCTGAATGTCCAGCCTGTAGAGGAGCTGTAAACCTCACAGATCAGAGTCACTGGATCTCCTTCAGTCAACCACGTCTGCGGAGAAACATTTAAAACTGCCTGGGCTTTATCTGAAATAGAGAAATCACTCATTAATACCATGTTAAATGTGTGTGTGTATGTGAAGTGATGATCAAACTCACCTGATACTGTCAGTGTAACTTCTTCACTGCGGCGTGATGTTCGTGATCCTTCTGTCTCTACTCCGTAACAGGAGTATTTACCTGCATCAGACTCAGTAACAGAACCGAATGTGTGTTCCTGTACACTGAAAGCATTGCCTGAACCATCTTTATACCAGCTGTACTGCCAGCTAGTGACTCCTTCAGCATATGTGTCACATCTGAGAGTGACTGTCTCTCCTCTGAATACATGTTGAGCAGGTTTAATGGTTACTTTGGGTTTTGTTTTTTCTGTATAATAACAACAATTCACAATGAAAACAATGAGCTGCTTTTACTGTAAGAACACAGTTACTTGACTGTAAAACACATGCTAAATCAGATGTGACTGAAGTGTTGTTCTCTATAGCTGTTATAGTCGTTAATAAAAGATCTGTCAATATACAATCACTGGGAATTTGGAAACATGAGTTGTGAAAGTTTTTCAACAATTTATGCAAAAGAAGATTTTGTCTCTCACGGTTTCGATTTTGATTTCACAGAGAATGTGTAATGCCAAGCCAGCAGAGGGAGCCCTCACCAGAGTACTGACTGTGTTCCACTCCCTCTGCTTCTTCTATGCCCATTTCCTGTTCTGACCACTATTTAGCCAGATACTGAACGCTCATTCTTCATGAGGTATTGCCAGTTTCACTGCCTTGCTGAGCGTTATTTCCGGTTATTCTGCCTGCCTGTTCTGTGTATGATTCTGCCTGTTTATCTGTTTATCGATTACTTGGATTATCCCCTTTGCTTTGGGTGCCTGATTGGACTGATGTTTGTGTTTAGACATATTGCCTGCCTGCTCACATTGCCTGTATGTTGACGGATCGGGCTGCTACTTAGGTTTTGACCCTCTGCCTGTCTTCACGTTCCTGCATGTTGAAACTGCTCTTAATAAACTCCCGCATATGGATTCTAACTCGGCCTCAGCATCCTCATTACAGAATGTAAGAAATATATCTGCTGCTTTTGATAGACTAATGTTTCACACCTCAGAATTGTAACATGAATAATTCAACTGGTTAAAAGGGTGCATTTATAACCATAATTAAATGTAAGTAAATGATCAACTCTCAGTTGGTTTGCAACAGTTAGAATCACTGGACCCACTTTATATTAAGTGGCCTTAACAACTATATACTTACATTTAAATTAATAATTTGGTACAATGCACTTATTGTGTACATACATGTTTTTACATTGTACTTATATTTTAAAAATACCTGCACGTAATTACATCTGCAATTAATTTCTGTAATTACATTTATAATTACACAGTTGACCCATTCCTTACACCTTAACCCACCCTTAAACCTACCCATACCAACAAACCCGTCCCTAACCTTACCCATATCCCACCTCAATAGCAGCAAAAGTGTTTTGCAATACAATATGAACACAATAAGTACATTGTACTTAATTTTTGATGTAAGTGCATAGTAGTTAAGGCCACTTAATATAAAGTGGGGCCAAATCACTTGTATGTGATGAAAATATATGAATCAAATCAACTCACCTTCAGTATGTCCGGAGTAGATGTTTGAAATCAGCACTAAAAACACAAAGAGAAAAACTCATTACAATGTGAACAATGAACAGATAATTATACAGATGGGCAAATATAAAGATATTGTGTGGGGACTGTATATGTGTCTACATTAACGTGAAAACATTGACTGGTATTTTATAGATTTGGTCATAGCAGAGAACTGTTTAGGGAACTTGAAGACAACAGTCTGATCATGAGCAGAAGAATAAAGACAAACTCTTACTAACTGTGTACTAGTGAATATTATGGCAACAGCGACAATAACTGCACACTTCCTCTCTCAAAATCATCCTTCACTCATATGTAACGAACAAGAGCTGGATTTGAAACTTTGAGAGCAGCAAGAAAAGACATAAATCTAGGAACACTAAAACACTTGATCATTTACATAATATAATAGCTATTCCACTGAAATACATTTAGAGAAAATAATACTCACAGAGCACAAGAGGAAGTTGACTGAGCTCCATACTGACTGAATGATGACAGACGATTAAATACACAGACTGTGTTAAAGACTCAAGACTTCCTGAAACCTGCAGTCAGATCTTTAGAAATATCACTACAGATTAAAGACACACAAATGTACCTCATGTGTTACAGAAGATCTTTTGATAATGTTGATAATCTTGTAACATGTTTTCAGAAAATGTCACACTGACTAACATGAAAGTTTTCTACAGAAATGTTGTCATGACTCATTCAGTATTAAATTGAACAGGATTTATTTGCTATTATGAAAAGTTGTATTCTGGTGTGTTCCATGAACAAGGGAAACTGAAAAATATTTTAATGGCTATTTATTGTAATGGTGGTTTTAACTGTATTTATGTAAGTATTAGGGCTGTAGTACTCGAGTCCGGTCTCTAATTTAATTTTCTACCTGTTAGATTGTGTTTTATTAACCTACAGCTCCAAACTCGGTCCTAGAGGGCCGGTGTCCTGCAGCGTTTAGCTCCAACCCTAATTAAACACACTTGAACCAGCTAATCAAGCTCTTACTAGACACACTAGAAACTCCCAGATAGGTGAGTTAAGGCCAGTTGGAGCAAAACTCTGCAGGGCATTGGCCCTCCAGGATCTAGTTTGGAGACCCCTGTCCTACAGAGTTGTTACTTTGCACATGCTTTTTGATCATTACAAATAATAATGTAAAATGATTTTCTTAGATTAGGAGAAATGCTGTCTCTCGCATCACATACATGATCAATAGTTAAGTATGTGGTCTTGAAGAGGATCCTTTTTATTCTCTCATTTGGACTCGGTCTTGACTTGGACTCGAAACTTTTGGACTTGGACTTGACTTGGACTCGAACCTCTTTGGACTCGGTCTCGACTAGTCCTGGTTTTGGACTTGACAAAGCTGGACTTGCTCTCATTTGGATTCGGTCTTGACTTGGACTCGAAACTTTTGGACTCAGTCTCGACTAGTCCTGGTCTTGGACTCAACAAAGCTGGACTTGACTACAGCTCCAGTAAGTATATAACAATAAAGTGTACAACTTCTGCTCTTCTCTCAGTGGTTAGTGCGGTGGAGCTGAAAGAGAACAAACCAAACCACAACTATGAGCTCACGTCTATCTTTTTCTATTCTATCAGGCTTCTGACACTGATATATATTGTACTTGTGAACACAGTTTAATATTCATACACCAAGACGAGGGATGGGCATTGAAACAAATTTGATGATTGTGATTCCAGTTTATCTTAATGAATCCACCTTCTTAATTTGAAAAATTATTATTTGTTTTAATAATAGTTGTTTTAAGGAAGAAATTCTTATTTTCAGCTCCCAGAAGTCTGTTCAATTGTGTAAAAAAGGTCATGAGTCTTTTATTGTCATTTGAACAGTTTATTCTTTGT